TTTTGCAGATTTATTAAAAAAGAAAAACTGAAATATCACATGGTCCTAAGTATTGAGACCCTTTGCTCAGTATTTAGTAGAAGCACCCTTTTGTTCTAATACAGCCATGAGTCTTTTTGGGAAAGATGCAAGTTTTTCACACCTGGATTTGGGGATCCTTTGCCATTCCTCCTTGCAGATCCTCTGCAGTTCTGTCAGGTTGGATGGTAAATGTTGGTGGACAGCCATTTTTAGGTCTCTTCAGAGATGCTCAATTGGGTTTAAGTTAGGGCTCTGGCTGGGCCATTCAAGAACTGTCACAGAGTTGTTGTGAAGCCACTCCTTTGTTATTTTAGCTGTGTGCTTAGGGTTATTGTCTTGTTGGAAGGTAAACCTTCGGCTCAGTCTGAGGTCCTGAGCACTCTGGCGAAGGTTTTCGTCCAGGATATCCCTTTACTTGGCCGCATTCATCTTTCCCTTGATTGCAACCAGTCGTCCTGTCCCTGCAGCTGAAAAACACCCCCACAGCATGTTGCTGCCACCACCATGCTTCACTGTTGGGGCTGTATTGGACAGGTGATGAGCAGTGCCTGGTTTTCTCCACTCATACCGCTTAGAATTAAGGCCAAAAAGTTCTATCTTGTTCTCATCAGACCAGAGAATCTTATTTCTCACCGTCTTGGAGTCCTTCAGGTGTTTTTTTAGCAAACTTTCATGTGTTTTGCACTGAGGAGAGGCTTCCGTCGGGCCGCTCTGCCATAAAGCCCCGACTGGTGGAGGGCTGCAGTGATGGTTGACTTTCTACAACTTTCTCCCATCTCCCGACTGCATCTCTGGAGCTCAGCCACAGTGATCTTTGGGTTCTTCTTTACCTCTCTCACCAAGGCTCTTCTCCCCCGATAGCTCAGTTTGGCCGGACGGCCAGCTCTAGGAAGGGTTCTGGTCGTCCCAAACGTCTTCCATTTAAGGATTATGGAGGCCACTGTGCTCTTAGGAACCTTAAGTGCAGCAGAAATTTTTTTGTAACCTTGGCCAGATCTGTGCCTTGCCACAATTCTGTCTCTGAGCTCTTCAGGCAGTTCCTTTGACCTCATGATTCTCATTTGCTCTGACATGCACTGTGAGCTGTAAGGTCTTATATAGACAGGTGTGTGGCTTTCCTAATCAAGTCCAATCAGTATAATCAAACACAGCTGGACTCAAATGAAGGTGTAGAACCATCTCGAGGATGATCAGAAGAAATGGACAGCACCTGAGTTAAATATATGAGTGTCACAGCAAAGGGTCTGAATACTTAGGACCATGTGATATTTCAGTTTTTCTTTTTTAATAAATCTGCAAAAATTTCAACAATTCTGTGTTTTTCTGTCAATATGGGGTGCTGTGTGTACATTAATGAGGAAAAAAAATTAACTTAAATGATTTTAGCAAATGGCTGCAATATAACAAAGAGTGAAAAAGTGAAGGGGGTCTGAATACTTTCCGTACCCACTGTATGCTTCAGACACGGGTCACGACGAGGCGTTCCCCATAGCGACCCCTAGAGGACGCAGTGTCTCGTTCCCTACTCAGGGAACCATGGTTACATATGTAACCTGAGACGTTTTCTTAATCGTGCTTAATCAGGCTTAATCATGGCATCTTTTGTAGAGGTCTTAAGTCTGTGAAAAACTTTAAATGGTGATGTGATGTCCACTGTTTTGAATGTGATACACACTGTTGGCATCAACTTTTGAAGGTTTAATCTAAAAAAAAAAAAAAGACAATAATATTTGGTTGGTAGTAATTTTTGTACAGCCACACAGAAATATGTTAATGATTTTCCATAAATAATCAAACAATCGTTTTTATGCACTTAACTTTTTAGGATTTAGGAATAGTAAGTTACAGTTTCTCTGTACATTCTTGCTTCAGGCCAATCTTATAATTTAGCTGTCTCGCATGAACTCATTTCAGGTCATGTCACAACTCAGTCACACAATTCATCTAGATTTTGAATGCTTTGACTTTAACAACCTACACAGAGAAAAAACAATGTTGATTGTCTTCCACTTGGACATTATCAGTGGATTTATACAGGCCAGTGTTTTTAGTAATGATGTTGTAACATTTACACACACAAATTTGTTTCTGATCAGTGTGTAATTCATATGAATTCTGTTTAAATTTACAATGACAAATGGGAATGTATTCTGTACACAAAATACACTGTTGTCTGATATGTTTAATCATATCCTTTTCATCAGTTACTACTAGTTACCTCAAATTTAGGCAAAATTAATGCAAAAATTTGAGCATTTTAATGGATTCACCACCTTTTTCTCACCATCAAAAAATGCAAAAATTACTTTGAATAAGTTTAAAATTGTGTGGGCCGGCTTCTGAATGCTAATCTCTAACTTGCATATTGATTTTATATCAGGTTGGAACCATATTAAGAAAATAAGAATCAGTATTAGAATATGAGTATCTGAAGTACGCATGAAATTAGAAGTTACAAGAAGTAAAATGAATGCAAAATTGAAACAACTCCACAAGCTTGTGGAGTAAAGCTTGTCATGCTTGTTTCGTTTTCAAATGTAATTAAACAGATCCTCATCTGAGTCCTTTCACACAGGGCAACACATAAATCTCTTACATATGCATGAACAAATGCTAAATCGCTGCGTGCACAACCAAAATGCCTGTAAATATCACTGTGCTATTTCTGATACTTTTGTCCTCTTTTTCATCTCCATTAGATTTTACCTAAAGACAACGAGACAAGGTCCACGCTAATGTACAGATACATCATCCACGAAGATTCAGTGCCCCTTAACAACAATAATGTCATTCAGGAGGACACACATGAGTGGGCACTGAAGAGCTGGTCCCAGTGTTCAAGGCCTTGTGCTGGAGGTAACGTTCACTTTGTTTGATCTTTCAGATCTTCTTGGTAACTCAAATATATCCATTTATTTGAATAGAATTTTTCAAAGCAGCTTTTCAGAAAATCATGATGTTAAGATTTATATTATCTTAATGTCTTGCCTTAAAGCTGCACTTAGCAGATTAGAGCTGGGCGATGATATAGTTTACATTTTTCAACGATACAAGCAATCGAGCAGTTGAGTTAGTATAAACTGTCCTATGTGAGTATACTGTATGTATGCATTGTGAAACATGTGTTAGATATGTTCAACTATTATCTAACATTAAATTAACCTAGTAATTTACAAATTAGCTAGTTTTAATCATATAAAATGTCTCGACCTTCTCAATTGTATCCAATTATTCAAATTAATGTTATACATAATAATTTTGTACATTTATATTCAGTTCATTATAAATGATTTTTACTCATTAGCTTATTCATTTCTACTTAACTAATAATTGTCACACCCGAGAAACAACATCAGGGTCTATTGAGTCTTTTGAGATGAATGAGGGATTTCATTCTGGCAGCCCAGATTGTTGATGACTGGTAACAATACACATCATGTTTCTTTTTGCTCTTTCATTTTATTTAATCTTTAGGATTCCAGTACACCAAATATGGGTGTCGTAAAAAAGGTGACAACAAAATGGTGCACAGAGGCTACTGTGACATCAACAAGAAACCCAAACCTATTAGAAGAATGTGTAACTTACAGGACTGTACGCAACCACAGTAAGTCGAAATGAAACTGTTTTTAATACTTCTCACAATAACTGTAGTCTTTTTCACTGAAATGAAAGCTGGAGTGGCTTGTCATGGTACAGTACAGTACATGATTTCTTATTTCATCACATGTAACTCAATCTAAACATCACTAAATAATGTATAAGCACTCATGCTTCCCCAGTCTAGCTCGGAGAGCTTAGAGCTGGGTTTTGATTGCTTTATACCATTGGGAGGTCTTGTTTCATTAATTTCTCTTGTCAGAGGCTATGAAGAAACCTCAGAGTGTGATTGTGCATGTATGTTTTTAATAGCTTGGAATAGTTTGCCTCAGCCTTTAGTTTCTACTGAATGTGTAGCCTTGGATGATTTTTCGAAAGAAAACCAGAAATATATCTGTAGCTGCTTTTATTCTGTTTTAATCCGACGTGTGTCCATAGCCTGCTTTTATGACTAACACAGGGAATGTATATAAGAATTATTAAGATGCTTCTGTGTCAACTTACACAAGTCACTGAGCGCACATCATCTCCGCACCATGAACATCTTTTTCATTTAAATATGCACAGTAGGATGTAAATGGCGTGTATTGTACATCACAGCATCACAATCCCACTGCCTCTCCACCTATTAGGTTTGGCAATTTTTGAGTACTCTTGTTTGAAGTGCTCAAAGAAAAAATAAACATTCAAGTTTTTAGTACTCTCTCAAGCAGTTATTCAGCTTTTATCAGCCATAGCTGCATCTGCCATATAGCAGTACGTATTTGAAGGCAGCAACAAAAGCAGATGTTTTTTATGCTCTGCGCTTTCTGCTATTCATAGGCTTATACGTCTTCACAACAGATCCAGATCTTTAATAATCATAACATATGAAAAAAGTTTATGTGACCTAATTGTTTGTAAATGGAAATTACATTTTTCCTTCTGCTCAATCTTCCAACAGAATTACACCTGAACTATAAAGTAATGTACTGTTTGATTTATATCCATTTATATTTCACTGAGATTTGCCATCCATCCCAATTCTTTGAGCAATGGTTTCATGTGTGCAATGATTTCCTGTATGTCTGAAAAACTCATGGGCATCACTTTGCTTTAAACAGAGACAGTTTAGGTTTTGCGTACATGCTGGTTGTGATGTCACAAAATGGTAAAGGCATGGCTCATAAATTCATTAATTAGGTTATGAATAAATGATTTAATATGATCTTTTACTGTTTTGATAAATGAATAATGATATTGATCTGACATTATATAACTGATAATAACACATACTGTGGGGGGGGGGTCGTCACAGTGTCAAAATATCGTCCCCCCACTCGTCACAGTGTCAAAATATGCCCTGCCCATCCCCACTGTAAATGATGACACAGTCTTTTTTGCTGTGACTGCATTGTAACATCTTCATATTCCATCAACTATTCTATATCCATGTGTGATTTATAAGCACTCGAGCAGTCAAGGATATAAACAGTGTCTGTGAGAGCAACATTTCAATGAAGCCACACTGTTTCTTTGAAATGACTGAATAGGTATACTAATAACTCGGAGTGAAATCTCTTTTGCAAATATGTTTTATCAATCTCTTTTGTAGTACAAGTCTCTGTTTTAGTTGATTTTCAGCATTTCAAAATCCACTTGTATTAAAAGCCACAGAATAAAGTGGATCCCACTACCTGCTAATAGATGGATGAGCATTATAAATCATCTCTTATATTTGAGACTGCAATATATAGTAAATGAAAAAATATACTGTAGTAGATTTTTCAAACTAGTAATCAGTTCCTTTGATAAAATAGCAGCAGAGTGACCTGCTGTAGAGCTCCACAGAATAAGGACACTTTTAATGGGATTATAATTTGAGCCTCTGACGTGTGTTAGTCAATTGAATTGTTTACTCTCCCACATCACATTGCATATTTCATGCTGAGACATGGTTTTGAATATGCCTTAGACTTCGATTATCCTTCTAATGTGGCACAGGAATGAAAATTCTGTGCAGACTGAGGCATGATTCTTTGATAACTCTTAATACTTTTGAAAATGACCACAATTAGCATAAATAATGTCCTTAAAGGTGCACAACAGATTTAAAAAGATGGAAAAAAGACAAATGTAGAAATGTTAATGTGTTAATGTTAAACAACAGGAGGTGCTACAGAATCATATGATTTTCCACAAGCTGAACTGTTGCTGAAGAGTCAGCTGCTGTGACACTTTCCTATTTCGATTCTGATATTTCCTCCGTGTACCCATCAGTCACCAGGTCTCCTCCTCCTTCACATCTGCGGAGGATGAGATTGTGCCTGCAGTTCTTCCTGCATTTCCCTTTTCCCATTCCCTTTGCATTTGCTTGTCCTAATTTTCTCTTTTATCTTCCTCACTCTTGAAGCTGTCTCTGCAGGTGGTGGCCATTTTAGTTTCCCCTGCCACCTTTGCTTCCTTTTTAAAAAGTTTTTTTGCTGTAAAATATGTGGGAAATAATTAAACATGGCAAAATGTGTGAACTAAAACACCCATTTCTTAATGCAAAAAGTGTTAATTAAATTAACTTACATATTTAATAAGCATGCAAGGAGTCAGGAATATATCTCTTCATATCATAGTCTACGTTCTTCTCACTCTGCTGCAGTTTTGGTGGCTTGTTTTATGAACAAGCTTGGGAGAACATCTGCATTGTGCCTTCAACAGGCAGAAAATCTCAGCCTTCCCATCCATAGACTAGAGTCACTAGACAACCAATAATTATTGATACTCATGTTTATTGAAAAGCATAGTTCACTCATAAATAAAAAAAAAATCCCACATAGTTTGCTCACCCTCATGCTGTTTCAAACCTGTATGGATGGGGAACAGTGGCTCAAGCTCCACATTGCTTGACATTTGTGGTCAGCTTTCTTTTATTATTTGGAAAAGAGCAGTATGGACATCCTATTATAAAAAACTCATTTTGTGCACAGTTACAGAAAGAAGGTAATAAAGGTATCTGTGACGAGTGGGGGTGGGGCCGAGAGCCGTGGGAACGGAGCGAGGCCGGTGGAGTAATGATAATGAGCGACACCTGCACCACTCACCGGTCTCGAGCCAATGTAACAACGTTCGTAGGTCGGGAAGAAGGGAGGCGGGAACCGGCGAACACTTAAACAAAACTTTAATAATAAAATAAACAAACACAAAATGAAAGTAAAGCGGCAGCCCCTCGCGGACGACTGCCTCACACAAAACACAAAATAAAGTCCAGGCCTGGTCCTCTCTCGTCTTTCAATGTCGTAACTCCTCCTTTTATCCTTCCGGAGCTCCTCCGTGGGACTCGAGACCGGTGAGTGGTGCAGCTGTCGCTCATTATCAATTACTCCACCGGCCTCGCTCCGTTCCCACGGCTCTCAGCCCCGCCCCCACTCGTCACAGTGTCAAAGGACATGAAGGTGAGGACATGATGACAGAACTTTCATTTTTGGCTGAACAGTCTCCACTTCATCTTATCAATTACACTTCTGTTTGAGCCACAGCATTCGGCATGCAACCGAAAAGCACCCTAAATCCATTTGAACACTCCAGTATGGTACATTAATCCTGCAAATGAGACACTTCCAGGGGTACGTAAGTGCCTCGCATCCTTTAGCTTCTAATCACATCCTTTAGAGGATGATCTGTTGACTTCCTTACATATGTATTTACTTGAAAAAAAAAGGATTAACCTGCTTGTAACATGTTGACTTCCTAACCATGTTATGTGGCTGTTTATTGTATTAAGCACATCATTGCAATCAAGAATGATGCTGATAACATGATTAAAATCACATGAACACGAAAAGCACTTTGGAGTATGCACATTACGATGGTAGGAGATAGCTAGAAGAGCAGCGTTTTGCACTAAGCCATTAAAAATACATTTTTACAATAAATGTAACGAAGGTTGTTAACCTTTCAACACAACTACTTCATCTAAGCAGATGTCAGTGTATGTTCAAGGTGTAATACATAAGAGCAGTAGTACATGCTGAACTCTTTAATTATGTCAGTTCACACAGGTCAATGATGCCTCCACTGATGCACCACGTGGATTAGTTAGAAAGTCACAAACAAGGCACAAATGAACTTCTGTAGTGCTCTCTGTTACACAGGCTGGTTCAGCCGCTGAGCTATCTCCTCATTTCCACAAGCGTGCTGTGGAGGGGGTGGCAGGTCGATTATAGTCAGTAGTTTTTACTCTCTTCACTGATGTAACCTCTGGTGGGCCTACAGTAGTCATTCACTGATAATATGGCATCGATCATTAACCAAAAAAACTGATTTAAAGGGTTAGTTCATCCAAAAATGAAAAAAAGAATGTTGGTCTCTGTGGGTTTTTTATCCCTACAATAGAAGTCAGTGGTATGTTTTGGTGCCCGTTGACTTCTATTGACCTACTGAGACATTTCTCAAAATTTCATCTTTTATGTTCCACAAAAGAAAACAAGTCATAGAGGTTTAGAACTACAGTACATGAGGGTCAGTTAATGATACCAGAGTTGCCATTTTTGTGTGAATTATCCCTTTAAACGTTGTGAGGTAGTTGTTCGATGCTAAGCCGTCTTTAATACATTGTCAGCGTTGACCAGGTGTCATGTGTTCTGCTGTAGATATATTCTTAATGACTGTATGATTGGTCTTGAGGTTTATGAAGAAGCTACAGATGCGTCCCACTTTAAGTTCATCAGGCTGAGCATTTACATTCTCTGATCACACTAAATAGTCCATCTAATTCATTTTATCCGACACAGATTTGTCAGCAGCTGGTCTGTCTTGAGACAAGGAAAATGAATGGGAGCTCCTGCTGTTTAAGCAGGAAATGTGTGCAGTTTTATAGTCCTGAAATAAGGGGGTAGACCTGTAAATGATAACACTAATCAGACAGATAAGGATAATTGAAAACTGTTTGAACATTGTCAGCATTTGTCTTTTATGTATTTCTTCACAAATTCATGATTTATAATTTTGGTTTCTAAAAAATAGAATTAAGATGATTATCACTGTCTCTGTTGACAGTGGCCATATTTTTTTATTTCGTTTTTTATCGAAAATCAGGTTTGAAACTACTTGAGGATGAGTAAATTATGACAGTTTAAATTATGAAATTATGACAATTATGACATTATGATTTTCATTTTTGGGTGAACTATCCCTTTTAAGGTGTGCTATAAATGAATAGTGCTGATAAACATCTGTTGAGATAGCTGATGAGATTCTCATTTGAAACTAAGTAGAGGTTTAGACATAGAAACAGTATTTGATACATCACAACTTAAAAAGCATATTGAACCACATTTCATTTGTCTTCTGACAGATGGATCACAGAGGAGTGGGAGCACTGCACTAAAACCTGTGGAAGCTTGGGATACCAAATCCGCACCGTGCGCTGTGTCCAGTTCCTTCATGAAGGCACAAACCGCTCTATCCATAGCAAGTACTGCAGTGGGGAAAAGCCTGAGATCAGGAGGCCATGTAACAGAGTGCCCTGCCCAGCCCAATGGAGAACCGGGGCCTGGTCAGAGGTATATTTTTCTTAAGATCACATGATGTTTTGTTTCTATGAATACAAAAGTTGTCAAACATTTTGAGAGTAGCATTTTGGGAGAGTGAGAGTATTGGTTCAATTGTATTTTGCAAAGCTCAGCAGAAAAAAAAAAGATCTGCAAGCAGTTTTAAGTGTAATTGGGCTTGAAATTATTGTGAGATTACAAAATCTAATTTGAAGAATGTGTTTAGCACATCAGAGCGATTGTTTTTTTCAATCGAGAAACGCCTGGGGAAAGACAAATTAGCACTAATTTACTTTCAGTTCGTACATTTTACCTTAAAATCAGAACCATTTTCCTGCACTGATAATGTCCATGTGAGGTCTGACATTTCAGTTGATTTTATGTCAATAGTGATTTTAAAATTCACCCGGAGGGATTGTTTAATGACAGTGGCCTCATTACCCAACTGTGTCAGAATTTGAAGCTAAAATCCAGGCTTTGAGTGTTTTATTGCAAAGAAGTCTTTTGATGAGCTCAAGCTAGTATGCAGTTGGTAAGTGCAATCCTCTAGTGAGCAAGCCTATGAGGTATTGATTTTGACCCCAAGCAAATGGATTTAACACCATGTTCTATCTATGCACATTGTTGTGAAGTCATTGATCAGGCTGACCATAAACTCCTACTGTAAACTGGACATTAGATGCATAACAATTTGCATATTCATGCACTATTCATTTATGACATTTTGTTGTATAAATAGTGTGTGTTCCAGCTGAAAATTCCAAAAAGCATGCATTTACAAATGCATTTAATTAACCAAAAAAAAAAAAGCCAAGTTTCTCCTAACAAGCCATGACCGCAACACACAACAATACATTGATCTCTCTGTTTTGGAAGTGTCACTTGTAGCCCCGTCCACTTTGAAATCTCATTGGTCTAAAGTTTAACGATACATTAAATGTCAAATATCGTCTCAGGTTACGTATGTAACCATGGTTCCTCGTGAGTCAGAGAGAACCAGAGGGGACAGTGCAATGTCTCTCGAGTCGCAAACAGATCCACCTGACCCTGGCCAAAAACTCTCCATATCTGCTTCACCACCTCGGGGTGAAGCATCCATTCCTCAGCCCCTGCCTCGACAGGATGTCTGCTCCCATATTGAGATGCCCAGGAATGCGAACTGCTCTCAACGAGAGAAGTTTGCCCTGGGACCACACAAGGATCTGGTACGCTAGTTTGTACAAACGGCGTGAGCGCAGACCTCCCTGGTGGTTGATGTAAGAGACCACCGCTGTGTTGTCGGTGCGCACCAACACATGGTGACTTCTTAGGTCTGGGAGGAAGTGTCTTAGTGCATGGAGAGTGCAAGGCCAAAGGAAGAACCGGTGTTGGTAGGCTTTTGCCCCCCAAAAGCAAACCTCAGGAACTTCCTATGATGATGAAGGATGCCCTCATCCTTCCTCGGAACGGTGAAGTACCGGCTGTAGGACCCGGACTCTGCTGCGCGAGGAGGGACCACCTCAATGGCCTCCATCCTCAGAGAGTGTCTACTTCTGTTCCATTACCAGAGCCTGCTCGGGGCCCACCAGGGTGGGAAAGGCCCCGTTGAATTGAGGCGGAGGAGAACCGAACTGGATTCGGTGCCCTCTCACTACAGTGTGCAGGACCCACTGAGACACGTTTGGCAGTAGTTTTCACGCTGTCAAATAGTCTACTAAGGGAATCTATCTCTCGAGACTGACCTCTGGTGTAACCAGAGTGGCTAGCTCAGTGCCTTGAAGCAGCGGACCTGCAGGGGACGACCGTACTAGCTGCTCTAGAGACCTCCGTGGAGGACGCGAGCCTCTTAGTACCGCTACGTTTCCGGGCGGTAACTGAGAGAACCGCTCGCTAGAGACCGCTGCACCCTGGAACACCGGCAGGGGTGGCAGACCGATCTCCTGAGGGCACTGAGGAGAGACGGGCACCGTGTAATGCGGTGTGAACCTCTCTTCCCCGGAGGGGCCTGCCCTCCGAGGTCCTGAGCCACAGCATCAGGACTCTCATAGCTGAAGTCTCCTATTGAAAACGACGGCCCTCAGACCCACGTCGTCTGTTAGGAAGACTACACCAGAGCCTGCTCGGGGCAGGACCCAATGAAGCCCACTTTGCAGGGGCTCCCACACCGCCAGGTGACCTCCTACGGGAACCAGTCTCACGAGACTGGCCTCTGGTGCGCCTAGAGCAGCTAGCTCGGTGCCCTGACGCGGTGGACCGGCAGGGGACGACCGTACTAGCTGCTCTAGAGACCTCCGTAGAGGTAGCAAGCCTCTTAGTACCACTACGTTTTCAGAGCCGGTCACGCTGAAGGGCGTTCCCGAAGCGTCCTCCGATGCAGCTCGAGTTCCTGAAGAGGAACTTTTGTTAGACTGTGATTGTGTTCAGTGTGAACAAACAAATTGCGTTGTGTTTAGGACACAGTAAGAGATGTTTGAAATACATATGTATCTATCTGTAGTGTGGTTCCCCTAACCTTCTTACTTATCTCTCAGTGCTCAGTGTCCTGTGGAGAAGGTGTGGCGCGACGTCTGTTCACATGTCGTATTGGAGATCAATGCACCGGCGAGAAGCCCGAGTCGCACAGGCCCTGCAGGCCAGGACCCTGCCATGGTAAGACGACATGGACATTGCAAATCCTGAAACACAAAGCAGGGAATTGGTTTGTGCAGAAAGCAGCACAGGGACAAAAATCTTCCCTCATCAGGCAATTTTATAGTGTCTTGAACGGCTGAACTGTTCATGTCGTTCATTGAACAAAAGCAAGCCTGTTGAAAGAAAATGGAAAATATTGCACAATGCACAAATTCATCTGCATTGATGAAATTATTCATGGTGCTCTTAATCACAGTTAATTTCTCAGAATGCTTTTGTGGTCTGTGAACTTCTCACCTTCTCTCTGGAGAAGCTTGTTTACCCAGTCTTAGGTGTCTGCTGAGAGCTTTTATTTAGACACGCATTACATATGAGAAAGCTATTAATTAGGTCGCATAATGCCTACAAGCTTGAAATGAACATGAGGTTTTGGCAGCGTTTCTTATTCATGAATAATATACTCTTTTTCAACATTTCTTCCCAAAGCCAGACTTTTGCTTTTTCAAACCCCATGAGCTAGAAATTGTACATTTATCTCTGCGTTTAAAGCAACATGTTTTACTGCGGTGCCTACAGCACAGAAAAATCACAGTTTCTTTACGAACATGAAAGCCTGACTTTACCGCTGCTCTCGAGAATTTTCTTCCAATCTTTTACTGCTAACGCTCAGCTGGTCAGCATTATTTGTTAGAACACAGTGCGTCACGAGTGCAGTGATAAGAGTGAGACATCTCAGCAGACATCACCGTGAATAGCACTTTCTTTATGTCTGCTTGCATGACGCTTCCCCTAGTTTCTCTTTAATGGCTTGAGCCGCACCTGGATGACATCCATCTCAGTGGAAGGTCAACACATCACCTACCCTTTACAAATGGCACTCTTGCGGCACACTGCTTAACTTTTCAGCTGTGTACAGTATAAAGCAGGTCACCTTAGGGAGCTTGAGGCATTTTGTTTCTTTTCAGCTGTAAAAGACAAACCAGTTGGTGGTTCACCTGGTGAAAAATAGTCTGTAATCCAAATTCAACCTGAATGGCTCTTTTCATGACTTATATTAATTGAAAGACCTCATGACCTCTGTATTTTGTTCCAAACCTGTATGACTGAATGAGTTTATTCTGTTGAACACAAAGGAAGAATACAATAAATGAGGACTTTTTAAGTTTCAAAAAGCTTGCAAAAGCACCATTTTATGAGTTGAGCACACTGTTCGATTCATGATCATGAACATATTTCCAAGCCTCTACTCCTTTCCAATTGACAATACATTCTCAACAGCTGTTTATGAAAAAAAAAACTCTGTGTATCCACATTTTTCTTCCCGTAATAACGGGATAACCATATATATATATTCTATGGGTCTAGCTTCCGGTCTCATCCGCTTCCAGCTGTACAAAACAGTTTGTTTTCCTGCTTGATATTGAAAATTGGTGTATCTTACCATATTATTTTAATGTATTATCATAATTATGAACACACTGGTTTGTAGTTCAAACCGTTTTACCGTTTACTTTAACGTTGTTATTCTTTCTCGTTATTTCCCTATAACAGCTAATGAACCAGAAGTCTTGCCCATAGACTTACTTCCGCTTTGCAGATGGATAGTCTCCGGGCTCTGGTCCTGGACACCAATAGTTTAATGATTTAGAAAAGATGACTCACTGTCTGGCCAACTGAGATTTTGGTATGGAGATAAAGGTTAGAATCATGATTTTTCAGTAGTAGTACAGCACACTGTGAATGTATATCGGCACCATTTGTTGTTTGCTTTTAAGCTCTGAATGAGCATTTGGACCCAGAAACTTAGAGATGCGACGTCAGACTTAACAAAAAGAATGACCAGGATAATGTTGAAAAAGTGACAGAAAGACAAACTGATTTGGGATGGCATGAGGATGAGTAAATCATGACAAATATGGGTGAACTCCCACTGTGGTCACAATTACTAGGTGAAATACTGTCATAATTGTGCACGGACGGTCTATTTTACTGTATGTAAAGAGAAATAGTTTCTTCAGTATTTGGTAATATTGATGATAAAGACCCTGAGGATTCAAAAAAGCTGAAATGTGGAAATTTTCTGTGACAAAAAAAAAAACCTGCTTAAAAAGGCACTGTATAAAACCTGCTGCTTCTCTGACAGATGAGCCATGCAGAGGAGACAAGTCCATATTCTGTCAGATGGAGGTTCTGGCTCGTTATTGCTCGATACCAGGTTACAAGAAGCTCTGCTGTGAATCCTGCAGTAAGCGAAGTGGCACTTTTGCTCCTCTTCTGCACGAAGCTGCTAAGACGGAAGAGGAACTTCGCTTCGGTTCAGCCTCCCAACTTCTGGAGACACTCTCAGCCTCTGTAAATGGAACTCTGAAAGTCTCACAGCTACACCAGCAGGGATCCTTGTCACAAGGCCAATTTTCCAAGCAGACCGCCACTCCCCCACCTCGCAAACTCAATACCGAGAACAGCAAGACTCAAAAGCGCCTCAAACTCGGTACAAGGAATCTGCCTGCAATGACGATCCATAGCTCCTGGAATGAGAATGCCGCTAAAGATGCGCCATGGCAGCTGGAAAGTTTCCAAGAGAGTCAGTGGCCAACAGCATCATCCGAGGTGGAGAGATGAAGGCTAGTTTGTCTCTTCTTTTTTCCTCTGGACTCTCTCTTATTTGTTTGTCGTAGACATAGACCTTTAACATTCATCTTTCCCTTCAGATCATCCTCAAGATATTTAAAAGCAAGAGAGAGTAAAGTGCTGGCTCACTTTCAAATGTTCTCAATTCTCCCGCCAGCAGTATTTGTTTTGAAAACACACTTGTCAATCACGCACTGTTGTGATGGGGAACGTGCCAAAGAAGTTCTTACGATGATCCTCTTAGCAGCCTGGTCTATGGGGGTTTGGTACACGTACATTGAGACTCCGGTGGTACTCGTGAGGAAACGCTTGTAGTTGTATCAAACTTCACAATCTTTACGGTTTTATTTTTACCAGCTCCAAACATGTTTGACCAATTAATATTTATGAACGTTCCTGTAAATACTGTATATGGAAAATGTCAGTATTATTTTTACAAAAATACAAACTGAGGATTTTTAAAAATAAGAGATTCAGGAGCATTATCGGTGCTTTTTATATTAAGAACACTTAAATAATATGCTAGGAAATGTGCTATCAGCCACAAGTTCAGCAATGATGAATATATTCCAAAATGGTGTGAGCCCCAGGAACAAATAGCCATAAAATATTTACTTTTCATTCCAAAATGATTTCATTCATGAATCAGCCTCTCAGCAAGTCATCGATCAAATTAATTCTCATAGACTGTGAAAACTGTCAGGTTTTTTGTTTTCCTCCTCATTTTGCCATGTTGTTGAGGCTTCTCTTTAACACTTGCTTCTTAGATTTCCCTTGTTTTGTCTTATGAATTCACCCTTGCAGCCAGAAGTTTATTTAGCCAACAACAAAACTGAGCGTGAACATCATTAAAAGCAGCTTCACCATGATGTAGGAGACCCATCATACATATTGTGAGATGAATTGGATGTTTAAGGCCAGATTTCTGGAGATCTTATACTGTGAGACACTGCACAAGTGTCCTATACTTGGAATTTGTGCTCTGCATTTAACCCATCCAAGTGCTCACATACAGCAGTGAGTAGTGAACAAGCACGCGGAGCAGTAATTTTTACAAAAATACAAACTGAGGATTTTTAAAAATAAGAGATTCAGGAGCATTATCGGTGCTTTTTATATTAAGAACACTTAAATAATATGCTAGGAAATGTGCTATCAGCCACAAGTTCAGCAATGATGAATATATTCCAAAATGGTGTGAGCCCCAGGAACAAATAGCCATAAAATATTTACTTTTCATTCCAAAATGATTTCATTCATGAATCAGCCTCTCAGCAAGTCATCGATCAAATTAATTCTCATAGACTGTGAAAACTGTCAGGTTTTTTGTTTTCCTCCTCATTTTGCCATGTTGTTGAGGCTTCTCTTTAACACTTGCTTCTTAGATTTCCCTTGTTTTGTCTTATGAATTCACCCTTGCAGCCAGAAGTTTATTTAGCCAACAACAAAACTGAGCGTGAACATCATTAAAAGCAGCTTCACCATGATGTAGGAGACCCATCATACATATTGTGAGATGAATTGGATGTTTAAGGCCAGATTTCTGGAGATCATATACTGTGAGACACTGCACAAGTGTCCTATACTTGGAATTTGTGCTCTGCATTTAACCCAGAATCCCTGGAGAGAGCCAGAATCCCTGCCAGACCTGAAACTCGAACCCATGACCTTCGAGTTAAAGTGGCTTCTCTTTAACACTTGCTTCTTAGATTTCCCTTGTTTTGTCTTATGAATTCACCCTTGCAGCCAGAAGTTTATTTAGCCAACAACAAAACTGAGCGTGAACATCATTAAAAGCAGCTTCACCATGATGTAGGAGACCCATCATACATATTGTGAGATGAATTGGATGTTTAAGGCCAGATTTCTGGAGATCTTATACTGTGAGACACTGCACAAGTGTCCTATACTTGGAATTTGTGCTCTGCATTTAACCCATCCAAGTGCTCACATACAGCAGTGAGTAGTGAACAAGCACGCGGAGCAGTAGGCAGCCAATGCTGCGGCGCCCGGGGAGCAGTTGGGGGTTCGGTGCCTTGCTCAAGGGTCTCACCTCAGTCATGGTATTTAGGGTGGAGAGAGCCAGAATCCCTGCCAGACCTGAAACTCGAACCCATGACCTTCGAGTTACAGTCTGACTATCCATTAGGCCACGACTGCCCCCAGTCACAAGATATCTCACTTGTCTGAGGGAGAGGAAAGCTATTTATTTTTTTATAATTAAGGATTTTATCACAACCACAATGCATCTGACTGCAATACCAAGGGAACCAGTTAGTCTATCAGTGGAGTTCAGCTGTTCATAACTGTACACACATTCACCCGTGTGCCACTGTAAAGCTATTGTATATACCATTGAGAACTTTAGAGTATTTATTAAGATTCAAAGTTCAACATCATGTCTTATGTGCAACATTATCTATCATTTCAAACCAAAAATACAGACTCCCATTGAGAGTAGCTCACAAAAGTAGACATTTGAATAACCGTATTGTTGTCATTTTAACTGCCATTTTAAATACAAATAAGACACATGCTCAGTTGTTGAGATGTTAAAAGTTAAAGCTGTTTCACAGCCATTTTAGAATAGAAAAATTGTGGAGAAAATCCTAAACAAAGCTGTCATTTACAGTGATTCATATTGTCCTTCACCCACAAATCCCTCAATCCTTCACGAAACTGCTTTACAGTTAATTCGTAGCTTTAAAAAAAAAATGTATAGTGGATTTTGATCCTCTAGAATAGTCAATAGTTGTATCTGCATACAGATAGTGTCAGTTGTCTCTGAGCATCGTAAAACCAATTAAAGCTGAGGTCAATGTTGTGTGCATCACAAAACGCTTTCATTTTATTGTTCTTCACCTTCTGCTAATAAATTGTTGCTAATATTATCAACATGCTTTCAGAGACCCAAAAGAATGCGAGATAGAAGAAGTTAATTTGACAATCCCTAAGCCACAGACAGACACCCAACATAAAGTATAAAGCATATTTATCCCCAAAATTCCAGGTTAATTTAAGTGTCAATTGTTGTTCTGTCTTACAAAGACACTTTCAGTTGCCGCTTGAAGTCATTTCTTTTTGTTTTAAATTTGTACTTTTGTTAGTTGTAATGGAAGTGTACACTACTGAGGCTGTTTGTTGTAATGGGGAGCACATAGCAATAAAGAAAGTAATAAACACCATGCTGTCTCTTGAGAGTATTTTTTTAGGTTTGCTTTATTTTTTTCATAAAAGGTAAACTCGTATTTTCTCCTTTTCACTTTAAAGCCCTAATAAGACTCTTTACACTTAAAATCCATGTTTATAATCCTACAAATGGTGTCTTCCAATGTGTCTGTGAAAACAGCAATAGCTTATTGCATACAATATAGTGTGTATTCAGTACTAAATAAATCCTACTAAATGTATTATATAAATCCTGATATCAAATGTACTGTATGCTGAGATATGTGTGCTACTGAGGCTTTCAGTGTGTCTTTAAGTTTGCACCATTGTTCCCTTCACAACACCAAATGCAGTGAAATTGCTCATGATTGAAATTTCCTTTGTTCTGTTTATAATGGATGCTCATATATACTTTTCTATAGAAGTCAATTATTTCACTTAGGCCAAACATTTTATTACAGCATTCAATTGCATGAGAGCACTTCCCTGGTGCTGTATATGGTTTTCATATAAAAATATAATTTGGGCTGCCAATTATTTTCCAGCTCACCATACCGTCAGGCTCAAAATTGCTACAGTATATTATGAAAGGCTCTAATTTCTGTAATTAGCCATATCACCCTGTAGCCCAAGACTGGTTACCCACTGAAGCTAAGCAGGGCTGAGCCTGGTCAGTACCTGGATGGGAGACCTCCTGGGAAAACTAGGTTGCTGCTGGAAGAGGTGTTATCCCTCAGAGCTGCATTAAACAGTGTGTAAATACATCTAAATGCCACTTCAGATGCAGCTTCTGTGTTTCCTCCGCATTGCAAAGATGAATTTTGTTGATACTGATTTAATTTGCTTGGTAACAGCCAAAATGTTTTATTATTCTAAATGACTGATTAAATGTAAGAATTTGGCTCAAAGGATGATGAACACTTTTAGAAAAAATGGCTTTATAAAGGTAAAAATGCCCATAAAAGGTAAAAATCAATTAAAACTTATTAGAAAAGATTAATTTCTATCACTGCTGTGACCTGACCACACAGAATATGAAAAATATCAAAAACTTTAAGAGTCAGCTGTCCACGGCAATCCTAATTATTATTTTTTTATTATTATAAAGACCAATTCAGATTAATGAGCCAAACATCAGGATGTTCATTATTTTCTGAATGATACTTAAAGATCACCAAGATCATTACAATTTTACATAAAAGGGCATTCTAAATAAAATAATTTTTAGTATGAGTAAGATATTGCAGAATCCACTTGTATAAAAGCAACCTTAAATGGATAATTCACCCAAAAATCATTTACTTATCCTCATATTGTTCCAGAAACACTTTGGTTAATCTTAGAAACAAAGAAATTTGTAATGAAACCTGAGATCACAGAATTTAAATTTTTGGGTGAACTATCGCTTTAAATAAATCACAGTAGTTTTAATCATTTTTAGTTTATACAGTACTCTATTAAAATGATGACAGATGAGGAATATAAGCCATTTTCACTGGTAATTTTTGGAGTAGCTTATTAAAAACTGTTGCATGTATGAGACGCTATTTAGCCTAAAAAACCTTAAAACTACCTCTCCTGGTACACACTTTTGCCTTGATTACTGCCAGAGGTGGAAAGTGTAATTGAGTAGCTTTTTGTGTACTTCTAATTTTTAAAATCTGTAATTTTACTTTTACTTACGTATATTTTGTTTGAAGTATTGTACTTCGCTACATTTTTAACACATTAATTACTGAGTAAAAAAAAAACTGCACCCTCGAAAACACTGCAGTAAATGATGGGCAGGAGAACTGGCACTAAAATCACAAGAAAGATGGAGACGGATAAGAAAGGCTTTAGTGGTGCAGACCCAGCTGAAAATGAAACACCGTTTTATTCTGCTAAAGTTGAACTCGAAGGAAGTGAACCCCTGTCCATATTTAAGCTCTATTATGCAGTGTAAGCTGTGTTTGCCTATGAAGATCAAACTAGCAGTTTATAAAATCTCGACATCAACCCTTCGCAAGCATAGAAGTAAGGTAACTTGCATCATTGCATTGGTGGTTAAAATGAAGCTTTGACAGTTTAGCAAGAGGTTTTGCACAAATTAGCCAAAAAGACGGTGCAGGACTTAGGGGTGTGCGATATATATAGTTTGCGATAATATCGTAATTGTTGATTTAACGATGTGCGATTTGACATTTTGCAAAAAAAAAACAAACACAACGCTCCTACAGTGTGCAGTGAAGTCTAGTAGATTAGACTAGTGCGCATGCGCATTTAGAGTGCGTTCTTTCACTGCATGATTCAGTCTATTAAAATGCATTTAGAATTATCACATAATTCAAGAAATGGGGGCAGAAATGTATATATTTATATAATTTCATATAGT